CTCTATTTAACCCTTTTGAATTGTCCAGTTTTTTTTTTTTAAATGAACTCAAAAATAGGTTTATTTTGCTTTTTGATGGCTTATACTTAATATATTAATAAAACAAAACAAATTATTTTATGTTCTGTTATTACATTCTTGCACAAAATGTACTTGATAAATAAATGTTACATATCTAGATTATATCAAAGAAACTACAATAAAGGATGGGAATGCTGCTTTTCTCCAGTGTTTATGATACATAAATCAGCATAAACGCATTTGCAATGCCATCTAGTGAGCACTGATTGTAATATGTGGGAACATGCAAAAAAATAATAATAGGCAAATAATTAAAATTCAATGCAAAATGGTTTGCCTGAATAAACTCTGGCAAATCATGGAAGGGGTTAATGCATTTTATAGCCATGAAAGAATACATTAATAAAATGTAAGTTTTTCAGTGCAACTCAAAGAAAAGGAAATTGTAATAGTATTTATACACATTTCCTATGATTCTAACACCAACTAAAAACTGAGCTAAAAGTCATTAATACAATTTAACTTAAGAAGAATGAAACTCACACCATTAATCTATGTCTAATTTGAAACATAAACGTATGTGACAATTATATGAAATTGGATTTAGTTTTGAGAAGCTTATAAAGAATGTAAAATAAAACAAAGATTAGTGTGAATTGGGAATTTTCAGATGATCAACTTCTTTCAAAAAAAACTCACCTGTAATTTATCAGCAACATTTTCAGCTGTATTATAATGAACATGCCAGAGTTCAACTTCCCGCCAGGCTTGGTCAGTATTCCAGGGGTCATCCATGTACCCTTTTATAACGACCTCGCATTTCACATCCTGCTGACTACTTGTATCGGTGTCCAAGGTTTCAAGATTTTCAGATGGAACGCAACAGTTCTTTAGGAACTATGAACAAACGAAAAATGTTATTGAGATATGTAAAAAAGTTTGTAAATATTATATACACATATAATCTACTATCCTAAGAAACATGTTTATTTAATGGATGTTATTAGTTCAACAGTTAGTTTATTGTAATCGAAATAGCAGGCTAAAAGTTTGTTACACTCTTAACTATGAATTAATGCAGAGTCCAAACTTCTTAATTATAAAAACTGGAGAGTATTCAAACCTGTAAATCTATATAGTTTCATTTTCTTTGTGTGTATTCCTCAAATTTTCAACGAGACATGCTGGTGCACATTTGTATGACCTGCTTTCATGTTACATAAAGGTATATTTATATTGTGCATTTCAATTTCTCACTAACCCTTTCTAAACAGTATGTAGCTTGATTTAACATTTCTAAAGCCTGTTCTCACCAAAATACTTGTGTTTATACATTGTACATCATGCAGAAATGCCTGTTCGTTCCTGTTTTTTTTTGAGTCGCACTCAGGTATAGTAACCTTTTTTAATAACTTGTGGAGTCTCTCTATAAAATTTAAGTTCATTATTCTTACAGTCTAGCCTGGGATGGAGGATAGTTACAGATGATGTCTTTATTAAGCTACCTGCTGGACAGGCAGCGCTTCTACAAGAGATCACTCAGCGACTTCAGCCGACAATTCTGTAACCTTTGATTAGAACATACTAATATTGTATGTTAGTTTTAGACCTACCTAAATACATTTAAGAGATTGGTTGGCCATGACCATAGCTAGACCAATTTGATCTTTTGTACACATATTTAAAGAAATAGCACTATGTGTATGTTACAATACACATGATATTTTTCATCATGTACTCAATGTATTACTGTGAACGACTCACCAGTTTTTGACAATGAAGTTATTCCTGGAAATGAGAGGAAGTATTATATTAATATGTTAAATTATTTGTATTTTTAAAAGTAAAGGTATTTTATTTTCTGTTGAGAAAGGCTTACTAGTTTGTTTAATTCAATTAACTTTTAAAAGTTTATATAGTTGAATGAATGTTGAATTACATTTTACTCTTGTGTTTCTTGTTAACTGATCTATTTATTCTAAGTACTGTTGAGTGAATGAAAAACCTGTTGATGCAGTTTTGATCCTCCATGGACAGATAGATTGGTTTATTTTCCTATCGAGTGAAAAAATGCATTGATTTGTATTCAACCACAATAATTCATACTTGAAATTATTTACACTCAATTTTGGTGATATATTGTGTTCTTTTAAAGAAAGTTTGGCATGCATAGAGGAACTTAACATTACTTTTGCACATGATGTGGCTATTCTCAATTTTATTGTAATGATGTAGTTTTATCTGTCATCAGAAAATGCACTGTGGGAAAACTTTTAGTAGTACGTTTTTTGAAAAATCCTTAATTTACCACTATTTCTCAAAATCTGGAGGAATAAGCTCTTCTAAGACCTGGCATTCTAGCTTTGCTTACATTCATTTATAAATGGGTATTTTTATAGTAATTTTTAACACCTCCATCGATCATGGTGGCCTTTGAACTGGGTTGGTTAATGTTTCCACTATCTCCTCTGGATTATGTTACCAAACAGTTGACTTAGGCATGTATAGTTTTATCGAGTTACTTATTTTTGGATGGGAAACTTAGTTTATTGTTGATCAAAAAATTTTCCATTTTGCTTATAAGCTCAGCAAAACAAGGCAATGAACAATGTCCACTGAAAAGCCTGCAATATGTTTTC